GTTTTAGGGCATGGTTTAGGGTTTAGGGTTTAGGGTTTTGACAACAGGGGTTTCGGGTTCAGTGTGTTTAGGATTCAGAGGTTTTCGGTTTAGGGCATGGCTTTAATATGGTTTCAGGGGTTCGGGGTTTGGTTAGGCATCTAGGAATTCGGGTTCCAACTACGTTTGGGGCTGCAGGGTTTTAGCATGTGTTACGGCTTCGTGCTGTTGTAGGGTTCAGGGTTTGCGGCTTTTGTGTTTAGGGCTCAGGATTGTGTCGGTATTGCGGGGTGGGTTTGGGGTGGGAATCATAGGGCTTTGCTGGATCGTGTGGGTGCCTGTGGTTTGCAGAGGGTGTGTTCTCAGTCAGGACTCCCGAGAGGTGTGCAGTTGTGTTGATCGCTAAAAGGTGCCCTAATATCCTTCTTCTGTTCCGGGTTTTGAAAACTTAGGGTTTGGATCTAGGGCGCAGGGCCTGGGATTGCGTGTTTAGGTTCTGGGGTCGCCAAATACAGCAATAAGGGCAAACCACATGAGAAGTGCTGCATGGGTTGCGCATCCAAGTTGCAATGTCCCTATAGAACCACAAGAGAAGGAACGCTACGGAAGTCAGAACAAGCCCCGTTTTTTCCCCCATTCCCGACCCAGGTATCAGGAAAGGATGAAATAGTGCCGTGCGTTGTCTGTGTGCTGAAGACTATGCAACTTCGGTTTTTGTTGAAGCAACCGTCGGGACAGCCCCTGGGCCCCTGGCTACAGTGCTCAGCATGTTCTGAAGCAGAACCTCTAGCAACCTGCGCACACGCACACCGCGACCCGAGACCCTCAAACCCACAGCCCCAAAAGCCTGAATCTGAAACGCCGAGCCCGAACCGTAAGAAAATGTTTGTTCGGGCATTCTCCGCTTTTCCCATGGGTCCCAGTGCCCCATAACTCATTGTCCTCTACATACGCCCCTGAATTCTAACCCCTGGCTTTTGCCATCAAGTACCCTGTTTCCTCATCAGTGGGTACGCTGCATCGTTGGGTTATGGCCAGCCCGAAACCGCGACAAACCCGCTGTAGATCCCAATAAAACACCCTATAGCCCTGCAAACCCCCATAAAGATTCGTGATGTAAACTAAAACCCTAAATCCCAAACCCCAAACCCTAAGCCCTAAACTGTTATGAAGCGTCGAAAAATTCCTTGGAGGTCCACCAGACGTCGAAAGCCTCCAATGAGAAAAGCTGGCTGCGGCGTGCAGCCGAGGAGGCATTTGTTACTGTTTAATATAGGGGCCTTAGTAATTACCTACACTACTTTGGGGGTTCCTTACTAGAATTGTAGTATAATGGGCCCCAAAACCTTATTCTAATTATTGAGGCCTCTACATTGTAGTGCAGGGCTTGGGATTCAGTGTTTTGCACTTTCGGAGCCCATCTTTTGGAACATCACGAGAGTATGCAAACCCTAAACCCCTAAAGCCGCATATCTGCATTCATGTACCCGACACACCCTAAGCCCGGATTCACACGTGTGCTCTCGGGGGGCTAGCCTTTGGAGCAGGAAGGCTTAGGTTGTCGGTTTAGGGTTTAGGGTTGTTTCTCCTTCAATTTTGGAGGTAGCTGCTGTTGTATACGAGTGAGGAAGCTCGTCGCACGCGCAGACAAATATTTAGATACTGTACGGTTTTAGGGTTTAAGGTTTCGAGAACTATCCGGATTTGCGACCACGGGGCACAACTCTGCCGTTTAGTCTTGCCTCCATGTGTTTTGCTTACTGCATTGACTACAGTAATATAGGGGCTTTAATAATTAGAATAGTGTTTGGGGTAGATTATACTATAATAATTAAAATAGTGTTTGGGGTAGGTTGTACTATACTTATACTAAGGAGCCCCCAAAACCCTATTCTATGTATTATGGCCCCTTTCATTGGGTGGTTGTCAAAATTATGGTCCCTTTTTGGGTCCTTATTATAATACGGCACCTAATATTTAGGGTGCCCCAAAAGGGACCGTAATTTTGACAACCACCCAACCCTATTCTATGTATTAAGGCCCCTTTCATAATCGTCCTCGAGGACATGCAGGGTGTGAGCTGATGTCGGCGAGGGGACCAGGAGAGACTCTGAAGATCCTGCTAAGGACCATTCTTGGTATACGAATCATAATACTTGTTATAGTAGAAAGTGATGATCTACTTTCATGTTATATAATGGCAATACTTACAATAGAAAGTGATGATGTACTATGATATACTATAATGACAATACTAATCATATACTTGTAATGTAAAGTGATGATATACTATAATATACTATAATGACAATACTAATCATATACTTACAATATAACATGATGATCTACTATAATATACTATAATGACATTGCTAATCATATACAGTGATGATATACTTTCATATACTCTATTGACATACAATAGTAATATGTTGCAGGACAGCCCCAGCGGCCGACCATGAGATATTAATTCAACCGCCACCTCCTCATCTGGTGATGTTCTGATTAGTCGTGGGAGTGACAGCGGCTCTGAACTGTCGTTAGGGTTTAGGGTTTAGGGACAAGTTGCAAGCAGATATTCCTGGACGCGGGCGGTTCGGACTCAATTCGTTGCTTGAACTTCGACATGTAATGTAGTACCTCGAGCATCGATACTTTTCAAACCTAAAGCAGCTTGTGTCCGTTCTGCACTACAGCAATGTCTCACCAAGCTAGCTATTGCTGCATTGGATTATCCAGTGATGGGTCCCCTGCGGATAGTTCATCACAATGTCTGCAAGCAGGAAGCCCTGTAAACCTTATAAAATCGCCCTAGTCTTCTGGCCCGAACTCCTCACCTCCTCTTAAATCCCAAGCCCTAAACCCTAAGCCCAGCCCTCAGGCAGACCTGGTCCTGGAGGAGGGCGATGAAGATTTGGACCGCGGCCGCAAAGCAGCCAAGCCGGCCAGTGGTTTAGGGTTTTCAGGGTTTTGGGTGTTTCGTGTGCATTTAGCAGCTTTTGCTATCGATCTTGCGTTGTCTTGTAGGACCCACATTACAGTAAGCCCTAAACCCTCTGGGGTTCATGGTGGTTTGTCATTGTTGGTCGTCGTCATCACCACCATTCAATCATCAGCATCATCATCGGGCCCATCATATCCCTAGGGATCACCACCAGGTGCCTCATCATCATTGGCAGCATCACCATAAATCAGTTCAATCGTGACCATCAAGCCTGAGAAGTCGTACCTGGTCATTATATATGTAGCTCTTTGCAGGTTGAGAACAAATGAAAGTCAAAATGATGCTGATGCGCTACAGTACATATCTGCATTCGTAGTCACGATAAACGTGAGCATCATAGTAGTGCAATGATGGAGGTCATAATCAGATCGTCATCATCTCCAATCAATGCTATATTCGCTCGCGCCTACAACAAGACCAGGAACGATATGCATAGCATTCAGCAGATCATTATCATCAGTACAGCCGGCTGACGCTTAGTGGCGGCTAGACCTGCAACTTAAACGTTCGAAGTTGTTGATGGCTGGGAAGCTGAAAGTTTGTATGACTCAGCCTCTTAAGGCGAGCAAGTGCCAAGCATGAACCCACTCCCCCCGAGCGAACCACTGAAACCTGAACCTTGACACCACCAAAGCCCAACACCCACAAGCCCACACCACACCTTTGCCCCAAACCTGAAGCCTCTACTTTACGCTTCTAAGCCAGGCGCCCAGCAAGGCGCTTTGGGGCCTTTTCCAGCAGCTACAGGCTGGGTGTTTTGGGGGATTTCGGTTTTTGCGGAGCTTCAGACTGAACGCTGTTTAAGACTTGTAGGATTTTGGTGGTTAGAACCGGAATCCTACTTTAAGAGTTTGCGGTTGAGGCTCAGGGTACAGGCAGGTAGCCTGAATCCTAGTCTCAGGAGCGGGTGCGCCGGGCGCCGCGTCAGTCGGGCGCGCAGCGACTGTCAAAGCGACAGCGCCTGCAGATTGCGCGGCGCGGCAAGTGAATCTGAAGGCTGGGTATTGGTTGGTGTCCGCCTGGAGCTAGGTGGCAAGTGATGTTTGTGTATGCATGTCTGGATGGACGGAGGGATGGATGTATATACATACGTAGGTCTTGTGTAAGAGTGTGTCTGTTTGGCAACCTAGACAGAAATTACGACTTCGAAGGTTTGGCAGAGCTTTGTGGTTGTGATGATCATCATAAGCCCACGTCTTCCCATGTGAAAGACCATGCAATGCACCTCACCTGAAGGCTCGGAGCCTTCGTGCGTCTTGCAAGTCTTGCGATTGGATCGGTTGTGCAGGCAAGCAGTGCAGCATGCTTCAGCTGCCGAGCACGCAAACTCCTTGCTGCCCAGAAAGAGAGGATGCCCGTTGCACTTTGTCCGAGCTTTCTTGCTTGCACCAGCTGCAAAGACACAGACCTCTTGATGCAGCACTCTTGAAATTCGCTTAATGACTTATAGGTGCAGCTTGCGGAGGGTGGATGAAAGCTTGCGCGGCTGTCGACCAGCTCAAGTTCAGTGGGACAGCGTGCTTTCTGCCTTAGTCAGACTCTGCGCTTTGGCACCATGTCCACTTACAACTGGGCGAAGTATGACCCGAAGTACTACCTGAACGGGGCGCTCTGCGGCGGGATCTGCTGCTC